CCACTTGAGCCACAGCGCCACTTCCGACTTTTTTCTTTTTGCTTATGTGGTGCTGAGGAATCCAACCCAGGGCCTCAGGCATGCAAGGCAAACACTCTACCACTGAGCCACCTTCCCAGCCCCAGGTGTGTGTTTTTTGTTTGTTTTAAGGCTGCTGTGGTTTCAATGACATGACTGTCCACTGTGGCATGCAAAAGGTCTGGGGAGTGCTGGATAGTCATTTTTGTATGAACTTAGATGCCGGTTCATGCATTATGAGATGCTCCAAATTCTAGTTGCAACCATTGATCCTTGAAGTCATTAGAAATGGGCCATCAGTTTCCATGGGAGTAGTTTTAACTCACTGAGTTGCTCGCGGAATATATGATGATGAACAGAGACGGGTAGATGATGGGAATGGTATTAAAAGTCGAACATAATAACTTGATTCAGTTCAGCAAATTACTGAACTAAGTTACCTCTAACTCGACAAAGCATGGTCCCAGAGCCAGGGGTTAGGAGCCAGTGACCACTCTCAAAGAGCCCTTTAGGAAGCCATCTTGTTAAATAGCATTTGCTTTGATTCATGTTTATGATTATAAGCCTGAGCTATCCAAATACAGTGTTATATATAACTTAAGGTTATAGGATAGATAGATGATAGACATTGGAAAATTTTCTCCTTAATACATTCAGTAACTGGACAAGGTGTGGTACATACCTGTAATTTCAGTACTTCAAGAGGCAAGAAACAGGAGGAAAGCAAGCTTGAGACCAATCTGGGCAAAATTCTGTCTCAAGACAAAACAAACACGGATCGAAATTGTAGTTTTATAAATTTATACATATATAATCTTTTTTTAAAATGTCAATTAATGGATTACTGTAGTAGTATTTTTCCTTAAATAAGAATCGTTTAAAAGGCAACTATTTAATTTCTTAAACTTTAGCTGTTTAGTTGACAATTTATATAAATAAGTAATTATACTGGAATCTGTTTAAAGTTTGATTTTGAGTTCTCTTTCCAATTACATTAAAACTACTGAAATTAAGTTGAAAGTTTAAAATTGCCAACCTCGAGGGAAAAAAAAAATTCAAATTCAAAAGCTATTCTCTTTCACACAGTGCTAGCATAATTTAAGTATTTCTAAATACTGATTTTTGGTAGACGAAGCGAGATTGCAGAAAGAGAGCGGCGAGAGCGAGAACACATTAGAATAATTCGTGAACGGGAAGAACGGGAGCGCTTACAGAGAGAGAGAGAGCGCCTAGAAATTGAAAGGCAAAAACTAGAGAGAGAGAGAATGGAACGCGAACGCTTGGAAAGGGAACGCATTCGTATTGAACAGGTGCAGTCAGAAAATCTTTTCATCTTAAATAACTCACCCTTTTCAAACCCTGTGATTTTTGCCCTGAAGTTTGCTTTACTTGTTGTAAAGCGTCTATAGAATGAGACCAGCTAATGAGCATTGACGTGTCCCTGAACTATAACAATGAACTAGGTACTAAGTTAACAAAAAAGACGCTAATAGTGACTTTGTTCCAGATCATTGACAAGAACTCTTAGCTCTGTACTCTTAATGGCAGCCAATAGTCTGAGCATAGGACTATGAGTCCAGAGTAGTTGTAATCCAGGCTCTGTCACTATCCCCATCTTTCAAATGTTTCCTTACACTGCAGTGGCAATGATTTCTCAAGGCTGGAAGCAACTAATGCCTCTCTTTGCACAATTGCAACCCAGGGTTTTAAGGCACTTAGTCTCCATACATACTGAGACCTGTTCCTGATTCCCAATAGGTGCTTGTGTTGAAGTCAAATGATTCAACTAAGTTTGCCTTCCCAGACGTTTACTACCACTTTTCCCCCCACTCAACTCCTGTTGCTGTTACATTACAGAACAAGAGCTTGTAGCCTAGATTATTGAAATTGAATTCATTGGTCTGTCCCAGGTGTGTACATTTTGCCTGGCGCTTGTGACGATGTTCTGAAATGGCCAGGTTACAAAACGGTTGCATAGGCGCTTACCTTGTGTCTTCTTTTGTATTGGCTGCTTCTTCCTTCTGTGCCGTCTGAAGGAACGTCGCAAGGAAGCTGAACGGATTGCCCGGGAACGAGAGGAACTCCGCAGGCAGCAGCAGCAGCTTCGTTATGAACAAGAGAAGAGGAATTCCTTGAAACGCCCACGTGACGTAGACCATAGGTAGTCGCTTGCTTTTCTTCCTCCCGGTGACACTTGGCTTCTCCTTCCCATCAAGCCAGCGCTAGGGAATTAGGACAAGCTCCCATTCTTGGAATAAAAGTTCAACAGGAGTGGGAAGGATTATGTGTTGGGGTGGGCCCACTGGAGTATGAAGAAGGGATAGTCTACTTTTCCTTTCCCGCTTCCTAGTATGATTTTTCCCTTATGACCAGACATATAGTCATGGTAGCCCTCAAATTCCCAGACCCATTCATAACTCCCCCCCTCCCCCAGTAGTGCATGTAGTACAATCATGGAAGTCATAACCTTAGGAATAGATTCTATTATGTATGTGTGTCTATGTTTTCTAGTAGAGTTTAAAATACAAATATTTTTGTGTAGTTTTCTCAGTAGCAATAAACTCCATGAGCTTTGGTTGAGGGGGTAGAGGCGAGGATGAGTTGAATGCATTGGGCTTGAGTTTTGTCTCGAGTCTTTCCAACATTGAAGGTAACTGAGGGCTAGAGGTGTAACTTCATGGTCAAGTTCCGACATTTGCAAGGTCCTGGTCCTTAGAGCCATTCCCAGCCAGGCATTGCAAAAAAGAAAAACGATTAAGGTTGCTTGTTCTAGTCCATTGAATGTCTTGAAAACAGGCAATTTTGCTCTTCTGTTTAGGTTCCTTGAATATATAAGTTTACACAGCTGAAGGATGCTTGGTGAGCTCCTAGCTGAATGTGCTGTGTCCTGGTAGTTTGATGCCAAGTGAATGTTGATTCTTAGAACAGTAACTTAGGCTGGGAATGTGGCTTAATGGTAGAGTGCTTGCCTACCATGAAGCCATGGGTTCCAGTCCTTAACAGAAAAAGACAGAACTGGCACTGTGTCTCAAGTGATAGAGTGCTAGCCTCGAGCAAAAAAAGCTCAGGGACAGTGCCCAGGCCCTGAGTTCAAGCCCCAGGACTGGCAAAAAAAAAAAAAAAAAAACCACAAAAACAACAACAACAAAAAAGAACAGTAACATATAATGAGCAACAATTTCTCTTTAAGGCGAGATGATCCTTACTGGAGCGAGAATAAAAAGTTGTCTCTAGATACAGATGCACGATTCAGCCATGGATCAGACTATTCTCGCCAACAAAACAGATTTAATGACTTTGATCACCGGGAGAGGAGCAGGTTTCCTGAGAGCTCAGCGGTTCAGTCTTCCTCTTTTGAAAGGTAAGTAGGTAAATTTCAGAATCTTGTGTTTGCTATGTGAAGCTTTGCTATTGATGACTGATTCTCTACTGAAATAATAATTGAAGAAGACGCACAGAATCAGATCTGAGTGTTTAGAATGAAATGTAGATATTATACAGTTTTGGTTTTCATGAATGGGAAGGTGGTTCTATATTTCAAATGAGTTACAGAGACCATTAGAACAAGGTTAAGGTAGAGTTAGTTCTCTCTTGTTACCCCTGAAACTGAGTTAGGGGTACTGCTAGCTTTGGATGTGCCTCATCTATTCAAAACAGCACATTCTTCAGGTTGGAGGTGTCTTCAGTATTTGGTATTATTTCTTCTGGATGCTGAGAAAACCTACCTTCACGCCAGTCATTTAGCTCAGCTTAGGAGAAAATGACTATAATCAATACTGTAGCTTTTTTGGTAAGGAAAGTCTTATAGATTATAGCTTCCCAGGAATCAAATTAAGGTGACGGAGGGCCGCCGCTAAGTACTTCTTCTCATCCATAGACGGGAACGCTTTGTGGGTCAAAGTGAAGGGAAGAAAGCGCGACCAATTACGCGAAGAGAAGACCCAAGCTTTGAAAGGTATCCCAAAAGCTTCAGTGATTCCCGAAGAAATGAGCCTCCACCACCCAGAAATGAACTTCGAGAAACGGACAGACGGGAGGTGCGTGGGGAACGAGATGAGCGGAGAACCGTGATGATCCATGACCGGCCTGACCTTGCGCACCCCAGACACCCTCGAGAAGCTGGGCCCAACCCTTCCCGGCCCAGCTCCTGGAAGAACGAAGGAAGCATGTCTGCAGACAAGCGGGAATCCAGGTATTCGTGTACAGCTTCCTGCTTCCTTGTGCTGGTTCATCCATGTGGATTAAAGAAGGTTCGGATGAACCTTTGATCATTTCTGTTCTGTTTCCTGGACCAGAGTGGACAGGCCAGAGCGATCAGGGAGAGAAGTATCAGGACACAGCGTGCGAGGCGCTCCCCCTGGGAGCCGCAGCAATGCTTCGGGCTATGGAAGCCGAGAAGGAGACAGAGGTGTCATCTCCGAACGAGGAGCCCAGGTAAATGCTGGGGAAGGTGATCTGTCAACGCTCCAGAGTGAATGCAGAGGACCTAGGAGATGATCAGAACACATTTGCATCGCGAGGACTGTTCCTCAGGCTGGGCTTACTTAGGTTGGAATAACTGAGAAACTCTTTTCTCTAAACTCTTTTAGCCTTTCTCAGTGTTACTATCAACAGCTGATCAGCAGGAATCGGAAGACATAGGATAGTACCTTTGCAGTCTGCATTTTTATTTAAAATTCCTGCTGTCATGTTATTGGTTAAATAGCTTTGTTAATGATGCTATTGGTTTCACTTTTTATTTTTTAAGAAATCAGGGCTTTTTTTGGGGGGGGGCTCAAATTGTCCTTTTTTTTCTGGGTATTTTATTTTATTTATTTATTTTTTATTGTGAAAATTCTGTACAGAGGGGTTACAATTCCATGGGCAAGATAATGAGTACATTTCTTTCTTTCTTTCTTTTTTCTTTTTTTTTGGGGTCCGGTCGTGGGGCCTGAACTCTGGGCCTGGGCACTGTCCCTCAGCTCTTCAGCTCAAGGCGAGCGCTCTACCACTTAAGCCACAGCGCCACTTCCGGCTTTTTTCCTTTTGTTTATGTGGTGCTGAGGAATCGAACCCAGGGCCTCAGGCATACAAGGCAAGCGCTCTACCATTGAGCCACCTTCCCAGCCCATGAGTACATTTCTTATCAAGCATTGTAGCCTCCTTCTTTGTTTCCCTTTCCCATCCCTTCCCATTTCCCCCCCTCCCCTCCCAGGGCTTCCATACTGGGTAAGAAATAGCTCCTGCTCGTGTTCCCATTCTGATTTTGTTTTTTTTTTTTTTTTTTTGTCGGTCGTGGGGCTTGAACTCTGGGCCTGGGCGCTGTCCCTCAGCTCTTCAGGTCAAGGCGAGCGCTCTAACTTGAGCTATAGCGCAACTTCCGGTTTTCTGGTGGTTTATTGGAGATAGGAGTCTCACGGTCTCTCCTGCCCAGGCTGGCTTTGAACCGCGATCCTCAGATCTCAGCCTCCTGAGTAGCTAAGATTACAGGCATGAGCCACCAGCACCCGGCTTGTTGTTTTTTTTTTTAACTGAAGCTTGAGACTGGCCTCATTGGTGATGGCCTTGAGACTACAGCTGTGCACTATCCCCCGGACTTTCTCACTTTGCCTTTTCAGGACATTTACTTGTCTGTCCATTAAGTAGTTAAAGTAGAGAATTGAAATGAAACATCTGTCTGTCTCTTTGTTCTCTTGTTTCTAAGGATAGATGCATACCATATTTTGTGTTCCTAATTGCTTTTCCCTCTTTGCTGACTTGCATATTTATTTTTTCAAGCTCAGGAGCTAGGAAGAGAAAAGTACCTTCATCTCTTAGCAGTTAAAAGGTGGGCAACTCTGCCACCCAGTGTAAAAGCAAGTTCATGGAGCTTGCTCTGGGCAGAATTTTGTTGTCTATGTGCCCGTCCTGGGCTTTTTTTGGTGTCCTGCCTGGGCTCTGTCCCCAAGCTTCTTTGTTCAAGGCTACCACTCTACCACCTGAGCCACAGTTCCACTCCTGGCTTTTTTAGTTTATTGGTGATAAAAGTGTCATAGACTTTTTACCCAGGCTGGCTTCAAACCAGGATCTTTAGATCTCAGCCTGTTGAGTAGCTAGGATTACGGGTGTGAGCCACTGGTGCCCATCTGCACAGAACTTCCAAGACAGTTTCCAGTCCATGTATCTGCTAATGGAATTCCCATATACGCCCATCCCTGCACAGATCTCTTTAAGAAAGGTGTCCTGGGGAAGAAGTCTTGTATTCTTCCATAAAAATCCTTGATAGTCTGTAAGTTGTTGTGGCAGTATCCTAAATGGGATAAAGGCATCAACTATAGGTTAGTGTCGTGACTCAGTTTGCTCCCACCGTTGGCTTCTCTTCATGCTCACTGCCTTTTGTATTCATGGACATAGTCCCATGGAAGAGCTGCAGTGCTGAGGAGTAGTGTGTGAAATCAGGTGACAGCTCTCGTTTCTCTGTGCTGTTGGCGTGCGGTGCTGCCAGGCCAGGCACATACCCCACGCTGGTAGGTCTGAAGGCTTTGACCTCTTGTGTATATAGGCCTGCAGGCCTTTGAAATACTTAAGGTCCAAGAGTATTAAGTTCTACACCTGTGGCGGGTGTAGCACTAGGAGTGGAGATGTGGAATCACTTTCCCCATGTTTGCCGGAAGCTTGCCATAGGACTGAGGGTGTTCTGACTCAACCTCTTCCTGTGCTCTTCCCAGCACTATCCCGAAGAACGACATGTTGTCGACCGCCATGGACGGGACACAAGTGGACCAAGGAAAGAGTGGCACGGTCCTCCTTCTCAAGGGCCTAGCTACCATGATGCAAGGCGAATGAGTGATGGTCGGGCTGGAGCAGGAATGATCTCCCAGCATTCAAGGTACATAGCTAATGAGTGAAGGCCTTTACCCTCTTATACTAATTGGTATGTGTGTGTGTATGTGTGTGTCTGTGTGTGTGTTTGTGTCTGTGTGTGTGTATGTGTGTATGTGTGTGTCTGTGTGTGCGCGCGCCAGTCCTGGGGCTTGAACTTAGGGCCTGGACACTCTCTCTGAGTTTTTTTTTTTTTGTCGGTCGTGGGACTTGAACTCTGGGCCTGGGCGCTGTCCCTCAGCTCTTCAGCTCAAGGCGAGCGCTCTACCACTTGAGCTACAGCACCACTTCCTCTAGCCTTTTTACTGGTTAATTGGAGATGAGCATCCCAGATTTTCCCACCCATGCTTTGAACCATGATCTAGAGTTTTCAGCCTCCTGAGTAGCTAGGATTATAAATGGGAGCCACTGGTGCCCAATGCATTTTGTGTTCTTAATCGTAAGTTAATTCATTGATGTTCCTGCAAGTGGGTCTTCAAACCCATACCCACATGTAGTATGCCTTTGTGTCATAATCCAGGATTGTCTTCTCCATGACTGAACATCCCTAAAATTTCTTGGGAAAAAGAAACTGGCAGGAGAGACATGTTCTGTTTCCTGTTTTCAAAATAACTAGCAAAACTTTGATATTTAACCTAAAGCTGGCTCCTAAGCTAACGAGGCAGACTGTAATAATTCCTCTTCACACCGGTCTCAGGCGTGGTCCTTCAGCCAGCCTCCTCTTCCTTGTCTGACAGGAGATGCTGGTGCCCATTGCCCTCTGCACACAAATGCCTCCACTGTCCCCATAACATTGAGATCACAGACTCACTCATTCTCCTCCTATTTCAGACCTTCCTGTCCCCATGTGTCACAAGTTGCCTCTAGAGTTGCCACCAACCACCACCTCACTCCCCCCGTGTTGCAGAAACATGAGGCCTTTCTTGAACTTTAGACCCGCCATAGATTTTGTTTCTAATAGCTCTCTCTTTTCCACTCTCAGCCTCCAGGTGCTCTTCCCATGCCAGCCTTCTTTCTGCTTTCTTAGTCATATTTTCTTTCCTTTACCATGTCCTAACCCACATGTGGCTGCCTTAGATCACCGGATCCTGACATTCGCACCTTCTTTTCCTGTAGTCAGTTTGTGTTCTACTTAAAACTGTTTGATCGTGGGCTTTTTCTTTTTTTTTTTGGGGGGGGGGGTGGGCAGTGTTGGTTGTGAGGCTCAGGTCCTGAGCTTCTTTTGCTGAAGGCTAGTGTTTTACCACTTTAACCCACAGCTCCATTTCTTATTTTTTAGGTTGTTTATTGGAGTTAGGAGTCCCATGGACTTTCTTGCCCCTGCTGGTTCCAAACTGTGATCCTCAGATCTCAGTCTCTTGAGTAGTTAGGATTATAGGCATGAGCCGCCAGTGCCTGGCTCAGCATGGGCTTTTAGCTCCTAGTTTTTCCAGGGTCTTGGGGGGTAATGTTGGTCTGCTGTGTGCGCCATTCTAGCTTCGCCTATACTGCGTTGTACCGAAAGAATTCAAAAGTAATTCTTGAATATCTTTCTGTAAGTGGGAAGGCTCTAGCATAGAGCAGGATCTGCTCAGGTACTTAGGAAAACAGATGCCAAGAGTAGCATCCCAGAGTTTGTATGCATGCTGTGTGGTGGGATGAAGCGTGTGATGGGAGCATCCACACTGAATGCAGAGGCTCGGGCAGGTCACCCCTGAGCTGCTGAGCAAGACCCTGTCTCACAATAGCCAAAGTAGTTCATGCCTATAATGCTACCTACTTTTGGGAGGCAGATACTGAGTGGATTAAGATTTGAGGCCAATCAAGTCCTTAGCTGAAAAATAAAGCATATGAAGGGCTGGTGTGATGTTCAAGTATAAGCCCATGAGCTTAAGTGCCAGTACCCCCAACGAGGTAAAAATAAGCAGGGTAGGGGGGGTGGGGGGAAAGAAGCAAGCTGAGGTTGAGAATTTGTATTTCCTGGCTGGTACTGAAATTGAGGTGTGGGGCACACATTTTGAGAAGCATTGCTGTACTCTAGCCCGTCCGTTTATATCCCACAGCAAATGTGTGCGAAAGAGGGCACTACGGTGAACTGCCCCCCCAGCTTTGACTTCCCACCCCCCCGTGCTAAACTAGCTCTCTGACCTGGCCATTCTTCCTGCAGGATGCAGGTAGCACGGTAGCACCTCACAGGTCTGGGGGAAAGGGTGAGTGCAGGTAGCTGAAGTTCCAAGCACAGAGCAGTGTTTGGCAAATGGAAGCATGAATAGGTATTTGCTTTTGATAGTTTACATTTTGTTCTTTGGACGTTCTTTTCATAGAATTGTACAAATCAGTGGTAATTCCCTGCCAAGAGGAAGTGGCTCTGGATTTAAGCCATTTAAGAGTGGACCTCCACGGAGATTTTGAAAATGAGCTACTCTGCCGTGATTTCGAGATAATTTATTGAAGCTTCACTTGACTACTTACGAAGAGGACCTCTGACCGCTCAAGAATTCTGTCCACCTTCCTTTTTTTTTTTTTTCTTTTATAAAAATTTAACATGATTGCTTTTCTCTATTTAGAGATGATGTTTGCATAGTTCTGTTGTAACTTTTCATAGTTTTGTGTACCATTCGACTTTTTTTTTTTCCCTGCAGCACCAACAACACATTTGGCAAGATGGAAGGAAAGCATCTGAGTAGTTTGCAGCCTTAGGTCTGTGGTGTCAGGCTCTAGAGTTTTTCATCATCAAGCATTTTAGCCTTCGTTTTAAAGGCTGGCGAAGCTGAAGAAGTCTGCCATGTAAATCTTAGATTGTTTCTGCATTTGAGTATTATGTAACCTATTTTTGCAGAAGGTACTGTTACATTAAGTACATCTGTGTATCCTGTTTCAAAGAAAATGTAACCTTTTTTGAAATAAACCTTCCTATTCTGTATAGTTGCTAAGGTGTTGAGAAGCTTTTTAATTGTAAATTGAGACCAATTTTCAGATTTAGGGTAGCAGCACATTTTGTCAGGCTTGCATGGTATGAAACCAAATAGATGAATGAAATCTTGGCCCTGAGCTTTGTATCGCGAGGTTTTATTTTTTAGACTGAGATGTGCAGGTAAGTGCACTTTTCAGCTAATCTGCACTGTTTGATGGATGAATTCCATCTCTGGGAATTGTGTGGGTATTAAGGTTTCCATATTCCCAACTATGTTGAGAAGTGGAAAACAAACCAACCCAGATTCTAGATTGGTGAATCAGTTGGGTTTTGTAAAAACTTGTATGTGGAAAGACATTGTTGTCTTTTTGTGAAAATAAAGGTCCACACCTCAAGCGTATGTGTCTTTGTTTCCAGCAGGCCTTGGTTATGGTTTCTAGAGAATAAATGTCGCTTTGCCTTTCGTGCAGGCAGCACAGTCGGTTGTAAGGTTAGAATCTTGCCCTGAGAGCTGGTAGCATTTTTTTCTAAGGCATCTTTTCTGGGAAAGCCTTTCATGGTGAGTACCATGAAACTAATACTGCCTCTTTCGGGCAAGCGTCCCCGTCTCCTTATAGAATCAGTGATGAGCAGTCCGCACGGTATTTCCTGGTGCGTTAGTGTGGTACCCATGAAGAGTGAAAGGGATGTGGTGTTGCTCTGAGGCTGCTCCGGTCCTAAGGATATGAGGGCATCTTCTAGAAGTTCATCTTAGTGCCTGTCCCTGCCCTATGAGCTGGAACAGACTTCTCAGTGCTGGGGGGGGGTAACCTCTGAAAGCTATTCTTTGGCCCTAGGTGAGTGCTGACATTTTTTCTATTGCTCTGTGTATTTTATAGTCTTTCTGCCCTGTAAGTGGGAGATGGGTGTGTGGGTGGCGGTGCGGTTTACTTGCTGATGCCTAGCCCTTTGTAGGAAGTGTCCCCCAGCCTTCCTGTAGCTCAGGTGCTTCTGCTTGTGACTCGGGTCATATGGGTCATATGACACTTTCCTGTCCTGCACAACATGATACTCAGAAGAACCTCAACCAGCAGCCAAGCCGTTACTGTCCTGTCCACTTCTCAGATGGGAAGTCATCTGTTTTGTAATGTTCCTTTTGCACTGTGAATTGCAGCCCTGTGGACTGAACCCAGGGCCTTGTGCATGCTAGCCAAGCACTGTGCTTTCAACTACATCCCTTTAAAAAAAGAAAATAGAACCTTTGGCCAGGCCAGTTGTATAGTAGCACATACCTGAGGCAGGGGGATCCACAAGTTTGAGACCAGCCTACACTATGTAGAACATGTCTCAGAACAACCCAGGGGGAAGCTGGGCACCCGTGGCTCACACCTGTAATCCTATCTACTAAGGAGGCTGAGATCTGAGGATCACGATTCAAAGCCAGCCCGAGCAGGAAAGTCCCTGAGATTCTTACCTCCAATAAACCACTAGAAAACCGGAAGTGGTGCTGTGGCTCAAGTGGTAGAGCGCTTTCCTTGAGCTAAAGAGCTGAGGGACAGCGCCCAAGCCCAGAGTTAAGCCTCACGACTGACCAAAAAAAAAAAAAAACCAGGGAAAAAAGACAGAACACAAAAGCTCTTTGAAAGTCTGGGTGGGAAGGGAGGGCATAGCATTCAATCGCAGCACCACCACCAAAAATAAAAATTCTTGGGGCTGGGAAGGTGGCTCAGTGGTAGAGCGCTTGCCTTGCATTCATGAGGCCCTCGGTTTGATTCCTCAGCACCACATAAACAGAAAAGGCTGGAAGTGGGGCTGAGGCTCAAGTGGTAGAGCGCTAGTCTACAGCTAAAGAGCTGAGGGAGAGCATCCAGGCCCCAGAGTTCAGGCCCCACGACCAATCAAAAAGAAAAAAGAAAAGCCTCACATCCCCCAGGGAAGGTTTGCAGATACTGTATGTAATTGTTTTCTATCAAATGCTGGTCTAAGTATTCCCAGAGTTCATTCCTATGTAAGTGAACAGGCCAACTGTACACACTTCCTAGCTTGGTCAGAAGTCGCTTAATGAGATAAAAATATATAGCAGAAAGACTAGTCTAAATATCAAAGTTTATTGAAATAAAATATAATCTATAATAAAAAATACTACAGGTATTATTCACTGGTTACAGTTTTAAGTATATTAACAAAACATTTTAACCCAACAAGGACACTATATTTGTGGTACAACAACAGACATTAAGTTTTGCTTAATACTGAATAATTTCATCAGAAGTAATATTATACTTTCCCACCTATTCAATATGTCTTTTTAGGAATATCTTCCAAAAGTGAAACTTTGGAAACTTGTTTAAGACATAATTTTTAAAGTAGGTTTAGCATAATTAGTATTCAAAGCATTTATTTCATAGAAATCAGTTCAACCCTAAGCTGGGTTAGATGTATTTAGGTGTCTTTATTCAAACCATGTATTCCAATGCTTTTTTTCCTGTTAATCTTTAGGGTTGCTCTTACCTTTTTTTTTTTAACTGTAATTAAAGCTGGTCATAAAGCAAAACATGAATTATTTTCAAAAGCAGAAAAGGTACTTAATATAGCCAGAGAAAGGAAGAGCAAAAGTTAGAAGCTCCCATCTATTTTCAATCAGCCACCTGGGCCTGATACACAAATCTGTATGTCACAACAAATTCTTAAACCAATGAATCTGATTATAGTGGAGGAAGAAAACATCTCTATTTCTTGCTATATTTCAAGAGTACAACTTCTCAGAAGTCATTACTCCATTTCATGTGCTCTTCCCCAAAAGATGTTCCAACCCACTAATTCTCAGTTGAAGGGATTCATGTGCAGTAACATTAAGAAATGCCATCTTATTCCTCTTACACCAGTCCTGCTTTGTGAGTGGAGCTGTGACAAGAGTTGTCATTTCATTGAGGAAAACTGCCTTTTAACAAAAGCCATAAGTCTGTAAAGTTAAAATAAGTACCTGGGGGTGGGGAGTGTATGTAAATTATTTCATATAATACATGAAAATCATCACAAAAGTTCTGAAAAAAATTGAGACATAATTTTTAGAAGTTCAATACCAATCACAGAAATTGTATTTGTTGTAGCTGCTTTGGGTAGAGTATTTCCATGAATACTATCCTTTTAGACAGGCCACTGAGTTATGGGCAGTTTCATTTTGTGACTATACTTGAAACTATAAAATAACTGCTAGAACCGAAGGAGCCAGGATCACCTTGCAATTTCTATTTGTGCATCCTTGCCTCTTACGGCCAGCAAGATACTACAGTGCAGATGGATATAAAGTTTTCCTAAATTGCCAGTGACAAAGGTTTTGAAGAAATATTTACAATTAATATCAGATAAGGTACACATTACAGAATAATATTTGGCCTCTGTTAAGTCCACCATGGTTTGAAACCTCAGTTTTGTGTTTCTGCCATTTTATGTCAACATATTATCTAGGATGTCACCCTAAAAAATACCCCTCAGACAAGTACAAATGTTTTCCTTTCTCAGGAAAATAGAACAAAGTTGAAATTGAGGCAGTAAAGTTTTTACCCTGTTTGTTGAGATTTTCTTGAGATCAGAAGGGAGTAATTAGAATCATTCCTGTAAAAATATATGTGTAAAAAAATCAACTTAGTACTTTTTAACAGGAAAAATGCCACGATTAAATCGCCACAATTAAATCAGACATGCATGAATTAAAATTTAGATGGGTCTTCAAAATAAACTTATCAGCATCCTGCGATCGCCCTCACACGCCTCTATTTTGCAATTGATTTTGTTCGGAAGCCTTTAATTTTCAAATCTATTTTTTAAAGCACCACCTAAGAAACCCCCAATTCCTCAGTAAGAAAAGACTAAAAAAAAAAAAAAATAGCAGGGAAGTGAAGAACTCTGAAGTTCTAATGGGTTCCTTTATAACTTCAAGTCAGTGTTTAAAAGGAATTTAAATTGCACAGGATCAAAGTAAGATTTTGCACTTAAAAAAATACCAACAACAAAACCTTATGAATCATTTAGACAGCCCCTAAATGATGATATCTGAGATACCTGTCAGTCACACTGAGGCAAAGTTGGGTTTTGCCCTTAAATATCCTGACAGCACTGGGGGAAAAGACAATTCAGACATTGGCCTTCAGATATGGAAATGATATGGAAAAGTTAAGTTTTAAGTACTTTTAAGATTTCCCCAGACACTCCTGATTGTGACGTAGCCTAACAAACACAAAAGCAAATTCAAATTATTGGATGACATGATGCCATATTCAAAGATAACTCTACAACTCTTCACAGCATTTGGGAAAAACAAAACAAAGCAAAACTGATCTCAGTCATTGGCCCAAAAAAGTCTGCACTGGGAGGGGAGAAGGAAGACAGCTCATCCAGGCAGAGAATGAATGTCTGCTGGTGGCAAGACAGAACAAAAGGGTGGTTCCATTTTGAGACAGGGTAAGTTGTATAACTAAAACTGTAATAGGGAAAACAAATAGTTCATACTAGCTTAAAATAACCAGTACAATGAGTCAGAAAGTTAAGCAGATTGTAGGCAATTTGCTATTTGCATTTTTTTCTTAAGAAGATTCAAATAAGTGATGAGTTGGTGGTTATGGAGATTCTTTGCCTTCCGCCCCAACCCAGGCTTTTACAGACATCTGCTTCATAAGCCAACATGAGGACAGAGACCACAAATATTCTTTCCTCGCACATTTGTTTTCTCAAAATCTATTCCGTAGTAGTTGAGTTTATGATTCACTGCAAACAGGATGCTCAATGGTTTGGTGTGAGTGCAAAATGGCTAATGGCTTCAGTTGACTAAATCTCTGATACTAATTTGCTTAGCCAGGCCACTAACAAGACGCATAAGGAAGAGCTCACAATCTAATACAGGATAAGTAGTTGAATGCAAGAATTATGAGATATGAAAACAGGATATATTCTCAAACCTACACTTATAAACTCCGCCTCAGTGAAATAACATATGTGATGTTAAACAGGAAAGCAGTGTCTTTCCCTAAGATCACGGTACAGATACAGGTGCAGGTGTACAGCCATGTACAGCCGACACACAGCCATTGTACAGTCAGTTCAGCTTTGCCCACTGGACCACTGTGTGTGAGTACATGCATGACACAGTTTCTTCCTTTCTATTTGATTTAATGGGGCTGCGGATTGACCCCAGGTCCTCATGCATGCTAGGCCAGCACGTCGCTGACATCTCCAGCCTGTATGTGTGACTTGCAGTTAATACAAGGCATAGAAACTTGCTTGAGAAACACGCACAACTGAAATGCTTTCAAGTACTGGAAAAGCCACAAAATCACAGCTGTGTCACTATAACTGGATGAGACATGAAGACACGTTTGCTATTTTTAACAAAAATTGGTTACTAATGCTTAGGGAATAT